CATGGAGCTTGCTCCGCATCCTAGACTACTCAGGTTTTCTTTTCTTTGGTAGAGTTCCGCTTCTTCGCGGAAGCATGTTTGTATCTAGGCGATCCATCACAGGCCGAGGATCGTGTAGCGGACCTCGGGTTGGCCTGTGAGACCAGCCCCTTGGCCTGTTCTCACAGGCCTGTGTTGTATTAGGGGTAGGCCAGTCCCGTCAGTCCGCTGGGGTATACCCCAGCCATTGTCTGTTTCCAGTCTCATTCTTCACTTGCACATTTTGGAGTACGTGCGCTGGAGTCTTGCGTGGGGAGCTGCGTTGTGTCATCTCGCTCCCCCCCTTCTTCCTCCATCTCCATCTCTGTCACTAGCGGAGCACCACACCTGGTGGGTCCGCTACAAACTGGGAAGGAAACTCGCCTTTGGCTATGATGGACTTACATCTTCATCTCCAAGGTTGAGGCTGCATCTACGAGGTTCCTGAAGGGGATTGTGTTGTCCTTCGAACATCAGAGCTAGGCTGAGATGGGCTGCCATAGCCAGACGGCACTCCAAGGAGAGAGAGGGGTGTAGGAGGTCAAAGGAGGGCACTTTATGTGCTGGCCACTGCTATCAGTAAAGGGGAGTAATCCGACATCTGATTCTGGCTCTTTCTTCCGTTGTTGTCGATTGTTATTGATAATACGATGATGGTGGACACGGGGGAGGGGGTGGAAGGGAGATGAGGGAGAGGTGACATTGGCTCCGACTTGTGTTCATCTCCTTCTTCTGCTGCTGCTCCTCTTTCTTCTTCCTCCCTTGTCTTCATTCTTCTTCCAATCTCTTTCAGTGCTATTGATGAAGCATTGTCTCTTTGTGAGCTTTTGCATTGGGAGCTGGCCAGGATCATAGCAGAAACTTCTTTCCCCCCATTGCCTCAAAGACTAGGCACTTGAAATTTCGTGCCTCTCAGCCACTTTTTTCCCTTTTAGTTTTCCTTTGGCCTCCCTATTTTGCTTGTGGTTTCTCAACTTTTCTTTTTCTACTCAACCAGTCGTTTTTCCTTCTTTCTTTCCTTCTTTCTTATTCCTCCCTGCCTTCCTTCCTTCCTTCCTTTCTCTCTTTCTTTCTTTCTTTCTTTCTTTCTTTCTTTCTTTATTCGCTGCCTTCTTTCTTTCTTTCCTCCTTTCTTCCTTCTCATTTTCTCATTCTGTCTTCTGTAATTTTTTCTTTCATTCTTCTTTTCTTTTCCTTTCTGTCACTATGCCTATACACCCAAGCGCCCTCACACACACAGACACACACACACACACACACACACACACACACACACACACACACGCACGCACGCACGCACGCACGCACACACACACACACACACACACACACACACACGTGTCTCAGACATAGTGCCATTCTTGTCAAGGGTTTGGACCCACAATCCACTAGGATTGCTACTAGGATTGCAGGGTCGGGGTGCGTAAAGTCTACCACTTTTCTCAGTGGTATCGGTAGCTCTGGGCGGTGTGGTGAGTCCTTATCCATCGGCCGAAATGCGTCCTGGGCAGAGTGTCGGGATTCAGCCTCCTCATGAGTCTACGAACGTTCCACAAAACAGTATGCCACCGTCACGCTTTTTTTGTGGAGTTGCGCATAGTGAACATGACAATACACACACACACACACACACACACACACACACACACACACACACACACGCAGACACGCAGACGGTCTCTCTCTCTCTCTCTCTCTCTCTCTCTCTCTCTCTCTCTCTCTCTCTCTCTCTCTCTCTGTATCTTTCCTTCTTTCTTTCTTTCTTTTTCTTTCTTTCTTTCTTTCTTTCTTTCCTTCTTTCTTTCTTTTTTTCTTTCTCTTTGTCTGCGTGTGTGTACGCGCGCGCGCATGCCACACACACTCGGATAGTCAAACTTAAGCCATACGGCAGAGAAACGAATAAAGATTTGAAAACCTTCAATAAGCCGACCACTTGCGCTCAGCGAAGGCTTTCGGATACAGACAGAAAAAAAAAAAGCGGGAGGCTGGTAATCCTCGAAGCTATCACGTGCAGCCTGAACGACGTCCGCATTCTCAATTGGATTTGCGCGGAGGGAACGATTACGGTAGCATTCAGATAGACAGCTAACTCGGCTCAAAGAGATCGCCTTGCGACTCAATTTCGGGCATAAGTGCAATGCGGTCTCGCTAACGGATTGCTATCGATTGAGGTCCTTTTTTTTCTTTTTTTTTTTATTTGGACCATTTCTCAATTTATGCGTGTCTTCCTTGCGCAAGGGTCATGCTAAGCTTCTCGATTTATCGTTCCAATTTTAACGGATGTCCCGACGGTCGAGGTCCCCTTTCGATTCGTTGCCTTATCGCCGCTTCGGCACCGGGTAGAGTTTTTTTTTTTTTTTTTTACACTCTCCCGCAAATTTCGGGGGAACAGGGCCGGGCGCAAAGCACGCACGCATTCATACAGAGCGAGAAAAGGCTGCGATTCGGACACAAGGAAGTATGCTACGCGCCAATGCAGCGTCGAGATCCCAGGGTCTTGCCATCGAATTCCTATTGCATATGGCGAAATGAACTCTCACCCCTTGCAACCGAATCAATCACAACGAGATAAAACCCCCAACCGAATCAATCACAACGAGATAAAACCCCCAAAACCTTCGTACGGATACACCCACGTGCACCCACGCACGCACACATACAGGAAGCATGCGCTCTCTCGAGCGCGTAGACACCTTGAAGATGGACATTACTACCTAGTTCGCCTAATAAGCTTGCGCAGGAGTCCAACGGGAAGTACCGACTCTCACCTGAGGTATCTTTCTGGTCCTTAGCGCATGCTTATGCGGGGGGGGAGATTGCGACGTTTCCTCGAAAATGCCGCCCACTACCGGTAGGTGTTCGTTGGCCGCCTCTTTCAGTTCCCCCCTCGACTCATGAGGGGTAAGGTTATCGGTCCCAGAGACTGCGAACACCCGGAGAAATTCCGCCATGCTCTTTCTCTCCCGGTGATTTCGGCATCGAAAGATGAATGTCGGCCGAAACCTCCCTTCTGATCCGTGTGCGCTCTGCCTGTGAAGGAAACCGGGCGCGCTGGAGGGGGGATGACCACGGAAACGAAGCCCCCCACCATAGCGCGCCTGCGCGTAGCAATGAAGCATGGGTGTTAAAGAAACGGCGTCTCCTCGCTTCTTGCACGAGCAGCCAGCCGGACCAGACCCCCCAGCCCGATCCCATCGCGGACCATGCACACTTGGGCGACATATGGCTGTCGGTCTTCGCAGAGGACAATGCCGCCCCTCCAGCTGTCCCCTGATATATGGGGAGTGGCCGAGGAGCTGATGCTTGCCACGTCCATCCACTCTGCGCAGCTGCCACGTGGCAAGCGGCGAGCTCCCGGCTGCTGCCTCCGCACTGTAAGGCATGACCATCACATCAAACACGATAGCCATCCTGGGGAAGCGGTGCGTCGGGATCAGGCTCTGACCCACTATCCCTTCATGGAAGATACACCCGCATCGGTCTGACTCTTGAACCGATTAGGTCCCACTTACACGAATTAAGCGATATTAACCGTAGATAGCACAGATCACCGGCCAGAATCTCTTAATCCGTGAAAGTGGGACCTTGCCCCCTGTAAGGGAGGGATGGGGCCTGCGGAATGGGGTTCTGCAGAGTCACATGTGTCTGTAGATCATCTTTCGGATAGCAATCGGACCCCCCTAAAAAACAATCGGACCGTTTCTCGATTTATGCGTATCATCCTTGAGCAGGGGCTAAAAGACAGGATAGCAATTGTTGAGTTCCCTTTTCTATGGGCTCGCCACACCACCACACTGTCGAAACCACGATTTTTGATAGTTTCTCTTGGCCACACAGGCTGTCGAAATTGGAGACGAAAGAAAGGAAAAAATGGAGACGGGAGCAAGTTGTCAGAGAATGGTTCTCGACACCTCCTGTCTAAAGTTGCTGAATTGAATCCCCAGCCTGCTACTCCGATGCTTTCGACAGTCCTCAGCTGCGCCATAGGGGCTCGCCACACCACAGTGACTGTGGAAAGGCAAAAAAAATTGACGGCTGTCAGAATAAATTCGACAGCCTCTCTTCGACAGTTTGGGTTGCACTCCACCACTCTAGACTCAAGAGAAATTTCTAGAGTAGATCTAGAGTTGTCAGTATCTAGAGTAGCGCGAATTTAGGGCCTCACCGCACCACAGTCCAAAGGCGAAAATATTGGCTGTCAGAACAAATTTGACAGCCTCCATTTGACAGTTTGCCCCCCTTTAGCCACACAACACTGTAGAGTGCACGCACTTGTGAATGCAAAATGGAAAAAGACGAACGCGCCAGAGGGTACGACAAGCATTAGTCCATCCCGACCTTACCCCCCCTCACCGAATTTCGAAGAGAAGTCGACGGCGCAGCCGAGGAGTGTCGAAAGCATGGGAGTAACAGGCTGGGGATTCAACAAGGGCCTCGCTGCACCACTGTCGAAAATGCAATTTTCGACAGTTTCTCTTCGCCACACAGGCTGTCGAAGTCGGAGACGGGAAAAAAATTTGCCAGTTGTCAGAGCATGATTCTCGACACCTCCTGTCGAAAGTTGTTCAATCCCCAGCCGGCTACTCTAATGCTTTCGACACTCCTCGGCTGCGCCGTAGACTTCTCTTCGAAATTCGGTGAGGGGGGGTAAGGTCGGGATGGACTAATGCTTGTCGTACCCTCTGGCGCGTTTGTCTTTTTCCATCTTGCATTCACAAGTGCGTGCACTCTACAGTGTTGTGTGGCTAAAGGGGGGCAAACTGTCAAATGGAGGCTGTCAAATTTGTTCTGACAGCCGTCGAATTTTTTCGTCTTTCGACTGTGGTGCGGCGAGGCCCTTAGTGTGATCGCTCCACTCACTCGAGACGGCCGTACTCAAGAAAAAAATATATTTCCGATCTAGAGTACTAACGACAACGCCGCAGACTCTTGTCGGCCCAGACACCCGACGCACTCACGGAATTCTAGGCCATGGCAAGGGAACCACCGACCACTCTTGAGAGAACGGCCGCTGCAGGGGGGCACTCTAGATCAGTGTGGAGTGCGCAGTCGCGGGTGCCCCTGACAACTCTAGAACGCGATTTGACGGGGCTCCGTTCTTGAGTAAGTGGAGCGACGTTTTGCTCTAGACAATTTCTTGAGTAAATTCTGACTACTCTAGAAGGAAAATTCGAGGTTCCTAGTCTAGAGTAGTGGAGCGATAATTCACTCAGTCTAGAGCAGTGGAGCGAGACCCTTTGCCCCCTTTAGCCACACAGCACTGTAGAGTGGACGCACTTGTGAACGCAAGATGGAAAACTTCGAAGGCTGTCAGAAGAAATTCGACAGCCGGGGCCTCGCCCCACATGCCATCAAATAGTTTAGTATGCTAGTCTATGTGACTGTGTGGCACAGTTAGGAAGTCTTGATTCTTTTTTTTTTTTGAAACAGCCCGGGCGGATGCTAGAGATGCTGGTAAGTGTAGACACCGCTAGCACTGCCGGGGGGGGTCCATCTATTGGTGGGGAGCAGCACCTGCTGGAAAGCGGGTCCAGCGTCCCTGAACATTATGATTGTTTGTGTGACTAAACAAGCAATTGTAATGACTGCAAGCAACTGGGCTCACCTATAAAGAAGGGATTTAGGCGGGGAGGGCTACACAGTAGCCTGAGTTGGCAGCCTAGGGTAAATGGTAGTATACAGCCTAGGGTAGATGGTAGTATACACAGGTCTCCTGACTTAATATTAGGGGAATTGGACATTGATTCTAAGTACTGTTCTCTACCCCATTCTCTTGACTTAATATTAGGAGACTTGGACATAGATTCTAAGTACTGTTCTGTACCTCATTCATCCATCAAATTGTCTTTTTTTTTTTTCTTTTTTTTTTTTGTTGCATTTGTTTTTTTCAGCAGAGATATACTTGTGTTCACATTTTGCTGCAGGGACCTCCTACTAAGGCTAGAGATTTAGCGGTACCAGTTAGGCAGCAGCCCGACTTGCTTGCCCACTGGCAGTCTGAAGTTGGTGATAGTGTGCTCACTTCCCAAAGTCTTGATTCTATTTTATACAGAAGGTGGGATGATGCATCCCACCATCTAGGGCAGGGAGCCCTAAGGCTCCCTTTTCTCATTGGTTCAGAGTTGCTTTAGGGGTCCTGTGGGGAATGGATGGAGAGGCAATACGGTGTAGTTTACTGACCTGTTTTTTTTGGCGTAGAATACTATTCCTTTTTTGCTGCCTCACTCCGCTGGTCTGTGGACGTGCACAAAGGACAAATACATGGCGACTCCAAGGGCGTAGCTGCACTGCTTTCCAAATGTGCAAAATGAGACTGAATCCACCGCCAGAACATGGAAAGTTACATTGTTTTTTTTTTTTGTTCTTCTCTCATGGATCTCATTTTTCTTGGTAGTAAGCAGCTATCTCATCCTCTCACTATTGGCATCTTTTTTGTCTTTTGCACATGTGGAGAGCACTGCATCCAGGCCCCAGGGGTGGGTTTTTTTTTTTTTTTTTTTGAAATAACTACGGCGCAGTCAGGGTTACAGTTTGTAATTGCATCTCAAACTTCTGG